TCTACAGGGAGATGCAATCACTTCGGCAGAAAAGAAAGCCAAGCGGCGAATGAACAGAGAAGAGACCGAGATCAGGGATAGAGGGATAAAGCCGAAAAGCAAGAAGCAGCGGATGGGTACAGAGAAGCAGAGAGAGAGGAAAGAGGCATCGGTCTCTGCGTCAGATGTGTCTCAGTCAGAAGACTCCGAAGAGGATATGACCCAGTGTCCAGCAGAGAAATGTCTTCAGCCGGAGGGAGAAGAGGTGGGCAAGTGAATGTAGTGTATTGACCGTGTGTGTGTTTGAATGTGTTTTGACTGGTTTCTATCTGCTTTAGGTGTACTGGGTTCAGTGTGACTGCTGTAACCGCTGGTTCCATATGATATGTGTGGGTGTATCAGCAGAACTCGCAGCCGAGGAGGATTACATGTGTGTGACCTGCAGCACAACCAATGCAGGCCGCCGGAAGTGAGTCAGATGAGGGGGGCAACTGGTCTCTCCCACTCTATCCTCCTCCATCCCTTCTCCTGGATGTGTAACTGACCCTCCCCGTTCCCTAACCTATGACCTCTGACCTTTGTAACAACGGTGCTATTTTGCTCTTTGTTGTCCTGAATGATACTATTTGGTCACTTTTTTTTTTATTTTTACAGCTTTTTTCCTTCTGTCGAACTGTTTGTGATTGTCTAAAACATTGATAAATATGCTAAATGCTGAATGAATATAGTGGTGCATGGGTTTGTGTTTGTGTTGCTTTCTGGCGTGGAGGAGAGACGCTCTCGTGAATCGCAGCGAGGGTCGTCTCTTTTGCATGCACGGTCAGAAACGCCACAACACAGGACAAACGAACCGTTTTCACCAAATACAATAAATAATAAATACAGAGAAATTATTTTTTGGAAACTTGCCGTTTCAGGTCACAGGCTTCTGGGATTCTCTCCGTTGTGACGTTTGATTTCCTTTTGTAGATTAGTTTTATTTATCGGAGCAATAATGTTGTTTGTAAGCTTCAGGAGGTTTCGGCGGTCTCAGTTGTGTTGGTGCTTTTAGAGATGGTGGTCAGATATTCAGGATATGTAACAGACAAAGACACGTCAGAATTGTAGCAGACAGAAGAGTGTAATGAACTGCCACAAAACCTGCTCAAGCCGTTTTGAAGGGTGAGGGTGGGGGGTGTTAGGGTTTGGGGTATGACTAGCGTGTTAAAATGTACCAATTTATAGTGTGGAATAAAACTCTTTGTTCTAATATCAGACAAAGTCTCTTCCCTTCTTTTAGTGATCACTGGTAGTGATCTTAGTAGAACTTCTATCAATTGTTTACCTTTTTTTTGATACAGAAACTGGTCATAATTTCACTTATGTTTTTCACCATTTTAAATCATGTTTTAAAAGCACCTATTCCATGTAGACTTTTGTAGATAATATGAGATTTTGAAATCTGCATGCAATATTTATAAAAAAATATTTTGGTTTAAAATGAAATTAATTTAAGGAGCAACATTATTTTCATATGGCTGAGTGAACTTTTTTCACCTTATAACTCAGATTTTGTATTATTATTCTTTACTATTGTAAAGAGTTGTAAGTCAGTCATTAGAGATGGGAAGGGCTAAAAAATACTTGAAGCCCCCAAGCTAAGGATTTAATAAAGAACTAAATAACATAAAACTAACCTCACTGTATTCAAAAATGATTGCTGCCATTAGTTATCACTTTAAAATTCAACATTTGAATAAATAAAAATACATTGTTTCAAATTAAAGTATCTGTGCTTGACTTAAAATAAGTTTCGATAACTTGGATGTTAAAGTTATAAAAAAATGTAATAAAATGTAACAAAATAACTAACAGATGCAAAAAAACATTTTTTTACAGTGAGTTAGATTTAATAACCTCAAACATGAAAAATAGGCAAAACGTGGTTTAAAAAGTACACTATATATATATATACATATATATATACACACACACACACAAACACACCCACACACACACACACACACACACACACACACACACAGTGTTCACACTTCCAGAGTTACCGTCACATAAACTAGAAAAACGACCTCAAACTCTTGTATTGCTATCTGTATTCTTAAAGCAACAGTCTCAGCACTCTGATTGATGTCACGTGACTTGACAGAGGTCAGCAACGTTCTAAATTCCTCAATATGACGTCACAAGCAGAACCCCTACGTAGGCTTTTCTACTTCACACTGGATCAGTGACTGTGATCAGGGATTGGAACAAGCAAAGGATTGGCACTGAGAAGCGGACAGACTATTCAATTTCCCTCCACTACACTTCACATCGGATTATGTGTTAAATGGATACCTGGATACGCTCATTTCATCGCCTGATGAAGCACTCACAGTGGACCAAGATGGTGGTGTGCCACCCTCATATGGGATTACAATTCTGCCACAATTCTGCGTGCGAAAGATCATATTTTGAGCGCGCAAAAGTGCGTTTTGCACGCGCGCGAACTGAGTTTTGTGGAGAAAATGTTTGTCTCGCAAAGAAGAAAGTATTTCGAACGCACGAAAATCAATTTTGCATTTAAAATACGTTTTTGGATGTGTGCAGACCTTCTCTTTTGCGCGTGCAACGTTTCACTAGCTTGCTCACCTGATGCCCTCCCTCAGTGCTCGCTAAATGCCAACAGCTCGCAAGTGCTCAACACAACCCAGCGTTACAATGTGCCATAATTCTAGCCAATCAGAGACTGAGGCTGCTAAATTCTGATTGGCTGCCTTGACAACCAATCATAACATTTCTTGCATTACCTCGACAGCAGAAGAGGATGAATACTTTCCGTACCCACTGTATATATATATATATATATATATATGTATGTATATATGTATATGTATATATATATATGTATGTATATGCTTTATAGACAGATAAGTTGAGAGGAGGACCAGCACCACATCCTCTTGTACCACTGTTTGAAGAATTTATCTTCCAGAATCTGGCAGTAAGTTTTGGGAGTTCATTTTTAGTCCATCTCGAGATTTTATCTGTAGAAGATAACCTGCTTAATAATTATGCACACCTGAATATAAGGCGTTTTTCACTTCCAGCCTTCATGAACAATAATATATAGATTATAAGTGATTAAATACAAGATTAATCGTAGTTATAATTATTGGTAAAATGTGCTTGGAAAAAAATATAATCAGAATATCAACTTGCATAATAATTGTGCATGCACTGTATTTTTCCTCTTCTGCTGTCGAGGTAATGCAAGAAATGTTATGATTGGTTGTCAAGGCAGCCAATCAGAATTTAGCAGCCTCGGTCTCTGATTGGCTGGAGTTATGGCACATTATAACGCTGGGTTGTGTTGAGCACGTGAGCTGTTGGCATTTAGCGAGCACTGAGGTCGGGCATCAGGTGAGCAAGCTAGTGAAACGTTGCACGCGCAGAAGAGAAGGTCTGCACACATCCAAAAACTTATTTTAAATGCAAAATTGATTTTCGTGCGCTCGAAATACTTTCTTCTTTGCGAGACAAACATTTTCTCCACAAAACTCAGTTTTGTGGCAGAATTGTAATCCCATACCCTCAGCGCCTTTGACCAGGTGAGGGCACTCTTATTACTAGAGCGAGACGCTGCTTTATGTCTCTCACTAACAGTTAAGATCAATAGTGAAGGCTTCGCCATGTGTCTGATGGGGTCCAGGTCAGCATCTCGTGGGTCGCTGACACAGGGGATGCCAAATCCCCTCCCTGACTGTGCAGCGTTGGATCCAGAGCAGGACGCAGGGGGTGGATGGTCAAATAAATTTAGGTGGGGTGTGTGTGGGAGACCGGGGAGGGGGTGTGGCACATTGAGAATTTACAAAACGGTGTGCCCGCCCCGGGAGATGAAGGATGGGGGGATGTTTTTTGTGAGTGGTTTGATTTAGAACCGGTTTGATTTTCGGAGGACAAAAAAACACGCACAACTATACAACACACGAAATATATATATATATATATATATACACACACACACACACACACACACACACACATATATATATATATATATATATATATATATATATATAGCCTATACACACACACAACAATAAAAATAAATAAATGAAAATGAACCTGTGTTGTTTATTCCTGGTGTGTCACAGTGATTTTCACTTATTTTTAATTAAATGAGCTTTGTTGGTTTATTATATCATGTATCATATCCTCACAGCAGTTTTTGTTAGAATACTACAAACAGTTTATGACAAAAACAATTTTAATAATTTCACTGTTATACCAGTGACATTTACTTTTTGTAAAAAAAAGAAAAGAAAAGAAAGAAAATCAATTAATTGTTTTTTATGTACACCAATATAATTTTAACTTCTTAAAATAAGTTTAATTTGACTGCTTGTTGTTTTCAGGCTGTTTGTGAACTGGTAATAGAGACAGTATTGAAAATCAGATGTCGAATATCGAATGAGTAAATTGCTTATTTCTACTATTAAGCAATTAAAGTGTCAAGCCTTACCAAGTACTGGTGAAAGCGCTGCTATCTAGCGGCGATTCATGTGCATGTCATTTCATTTAGCAGCAGAAGCCCATGTCCTCCAAAAACAAATAAAACGCTATTTTCTCCATTGTTAACACAGTAGAACTGATTTAGTGTTCATAACTTCCAAGACTATTCATACACACATTCAACACACATTTATCCATGTGTATAAAAAAAAGTGGTAAAATTTATGTCACAGGACTCCAGGATTTATCAAAAGAACCACTGACAAATTCAGGCATAGGATCCAAACAATACAGAAGGTGACGAAAAAAGAGAAGTACCAATAGTAGCTAAGTACAAGAAAGTAGAGAAGGAGAAAAATCACTCAGAACTGTGATTTTAATGCCTGGTTTGTGGAGAGTGAAAGGAATATGACAGAATTCTTACAAACTTGTGAGGAAATGATCTTGGAGGAACACTGGTGTAAAAAATCTACACAATCTGTCTCCTTTGTGCGTGTGTGTGCGCAGCTGCTCGCGGTCACGCAGATGTGAAGGATCGCGCGGAATGCCTCCTGGCTCTCGAGCCTTATTATGGAGCTCTTGAAAGGCGCTCTGAGCGCGAGACCCTCTGCACGCCTTTTATTATGGATTTAATAGCACGTGTGAAGGGGAAAGATACTCTTTAAATTGAGTCAGCTGCATTTCCGCAGACTAAAACATTATACTTGACCAATAAACATTAAATATTTCCAAAGAAAATGTCCAGACAAAAGGTTTCGGAGCGACAAGGGAGCGATGACTCGGACACGGACACGGACCTGCTGCTCGCGACGCTCTCACCGGAGGAGGTGGAGGAGCTCGAGCGAGAGCTCGTTTATATCGACCCCGACCCGAATGTACCGGTGGGACTCCGCCAGCGGAACCAGACGGACAAACTACCGTCCAGAGGATATGACAGAGAGGCTATGCTGGACTACTGTGAGCGGGAGACCAAGAAACTGATCCGGAGAGAGCTGAGCGCAGAGGTGATGCTTAATAATAATAATAATAATAATAATAATAATTATA